GTCCCCCCCCGCCCCTGCCCGGGCTTCATTAGTAACCTGATAATTCCCCGGCAAAGCCCCGGCAGCGGTTCCACCGCGGAGTAATTGCAGGACGGTAACGTGAGCTGATGGCGGCCGGGGATGGATCCTCGCCGTTATTGATTTTGACAGCTAAATTGTTAACCGAGAGGGAAATCAGATGAAAGCCATTTCAGAATAAATACAAGACATTAGGTTTAAACATCGAGGTTGCAAGAAAGCCCGAGAAACCCCCAGGAAACTCAGCCCCGGGCCCGCCAGCTCGTCCTCCTCTCTGCGGAGGGGGCAGACGGACAAGTGCGGAGGAGCGGGGCTGAGAAAGGACGATTTCAGGCAGGGGCTGAATCAGCTCCGACTGCTCCGGAAGAAACCCGTAGGAGTTTTCAGGGACAGAGGCATGAAAGCTGTCTGCCCCCCTCCACGGCGCCGCTCGGAACAGGGCAACGCGGGGTTCGTTCTCATGCGAGAGCGGCGGAGGGCGGCCACGGCCCACCCCGATGCAGCAGCGCCGGTGGTTTTCCCCAATAACTACAGACGGGGCACTGGGGGCTCCCCAAAGTCTGAAAGGGCTCAGGAATGGGGTGACTTCAGCCCAGCCTCGGCCCTGGGGGCAGGCAGGTCTCCGGAATGGGAGTTACATGGCTGCTGCCTGCGCTGGGCCCAGGGCCCGGGCACTGGTACGGGGTATTTACACCAAGTTCATCCCCTTTCGTCCGCCCCACGCGAGCGCTGGAGCTCACAGGAGGCAGCGCCAGGGCGGCTGCGTGGCACCGAGCGAGCCAGCCCCGACCCCCACATCTGGGGCTGGGCACGGTCTGAGCTCCCGCGGGCGAGGGCATTGCTCCATCCCTGTCCCGAGCGCAGTCACACCGCAGGCAGGGAGATGGTTAAAACACCGAGAGAAAAACCCACACCACGGGCGTGAGCGCTGTCCCCGGCACCCACCTCGCCCCCGGGGCTGCGCTGGAAAGATGGGGGAAGCACAGAACCCCCCGGGAGGCCGGGGCTGTGTGGTGGGGGCAAGAACCAGACGCCAGCAGCCAAGCCCCACTCTCCATGCCCCCCCAGCCTGCCAGCCGCCGCGCTCACAGCTGCAGAGCCGGCCCCATCCTCCTCCAAGCGCTTCCCGGGGCCGCTCAGACCTGGCGGATGGTTGATACGCAACGCCCCGGAGCTGGCACTCCTGCAAAACCCTCTCCTGAGCGTTTACCTCCTCCAGGCTGCAGGGTCAGAGTCTCCGGGTTTCGCTGCGCCCTGGCCGTGGCTGCCGAAGCGGCGCGGGGCCTGCGGGAAGCCGCAGCATTCCTGGGAAGAGCCGGCAGCACCAGCCCCTGCCAGGCTGGCGGGAGTGACCGACACAAACACCGACCTGCAATAAAGCTCCCCCAGGTCTGAGTCGGGCCCAAGGACACACAAGGCACTTCTGTTAGTGACTGTGGTAGTGTGGAAAAAAAAAAAAAAAAAAAAAAAAAAAAGATACTGATCCTATTGTACCCAGATTTGTATCAGTGGACTTCGGCTGATGCCAAGCATTTACCACCCTCACTTCCTGCAGGCCACCCTCGCTTTCCTGGAGGAAAACATGCATTTTAAATGTTTATTTAGAGCCGTAAGAATTTCAACAAATTGTATTTAAATACAAATAAATATCAAAGTATGGTTCTGACAGGAACACCACCACATTCCCGATTTGAATCTAGGTATTTTCTAAATTCCTAATAGAAAGAGAATGGATTGCTGTTCTGAGTGACGCAGATACAGATCCAGGGGACTACAAACAGACCACGCAAGAACAAAACACAGGCTGTTCACAGAGGAATGTAAAGGGGTGTTATTGACATTCACAGGGGTACAAACTCCCAATGATACTACTTTTCTCTTTACTCAGGTACCAAAAAACTAGAAAGCAAATATTTAACAGCACGAGGCCTACTTTGGAACAATTCAGGCTTTTAACAACCCACCCATCAGACAGGCAGAGCCTCGTCCCAGACGCTGGGCTGGGACACGTGCTCTGCCAGGAGGGAGGCGCGCTGCCGCGGGACTACAAACCTCACTGTGCTACGCCAGGGAGCAACACCTGTGTACAGCAACCAGGGGCTGTTTACAAGTGATTTTCCTCCTCTTGAGACCATTGTTAACCAGCTTGGGGAAGCAACTCGAGAGGTGAAGATTCACCGGTGAGCAGACGTTGGTAAAATCAGAACCCCTGGACCCGAGCATAAACGTTCTCCAAGGTGCCCCTTGCACACGCAGTCGCGGCGCTGTGTGTCCCGAGGAGAAAACGCTGCCAGACATGGTTGTGGGTTTTTTTCCCCTCATATTTCTACTTGGGGAGAAAAACAAACCATCTGATCTGTGGCACAAGTGAAACGCCATCCATTGGACTCGCAAATTAAGCACCTGGTGCAGGTCATCCCCCGCGCACAGAGGAATCATTTTGGCACAAATGCTTGTGCCACTTTACACCAAGAGGCAACTGGCCACCTTTTACCAGCCAGTGAAAAGCAGGCGTTGGACTGGCTGGTGGGCAAACGGTGAGGTCATGTGCTTGACAGATGTCTCAGAGGCTGCAGCGTTATTCTCACGCTGTCACATCTGGTTGCTGAAGAGCAACGAACTGATCACCAACATTAGATATGCCACTGCTGCGCTCTGAAGCTCAGCGCAGGCCTCGGGGGGGTGTAAACACACTAATTCCTACACGGGGGCACATACTTACCACCTAAATGACACTGAAAATACCCGTGCTATGTCATTATCTTAAGGTTGTCACATTGTAAAGTAATACCCTAAAGTTTGCAAATCGAAATGCAAAACGAATTTGCTTTGGTGCATATAAAATATTGCATGCACAGTTACTAAAAGTGTTGCAAAATCTATTTAAAATGAGTTTTATTGAGATGAAAAAGTTTTCCGTGGTAACTACAGAATGTTAATCAAAACCAAGTGCCCTCCATTAAAAACACGAATCGGAATACTTTTTTTTGTTCAAAAATACTTTAAAAAGTAATCAGTTAAATGGAGTATTTTTGGATGTGCTTTACTCCATACACTGGTTAACTGCTTCTAATCTTGCTAATGAATGCACACTAACGAGAGGTTGTCTGCATGTTCATCAGAGGCTTTGAAGGGAACCTACTTTTCTGAACAGCCTTCAGCTGCGAAGCTGCGCTGGCAGCAAGGAGGAGGCAGCAGACCACCGAAGGTGTCAGGGAACACTGCGCCGTGGGCAGCGGCGGGGGGCTCAGGTGGTGGCATCCTTCTCACTCTACAAAGTACAAAAGCATTGGAGGACTCCGGGTATACAAAGCAGTGTGTCTTGCTACCATTATCCATTCATAAGCATCATCTTCTAGATTTCCAGGCAGCTCTGGAATAAGGAGTAGTCCTTTTCTTATCCGGTGGTTTGAAGTAAGAATAAACAGGTGCTGCAGGATATTCTGCATCCGGGTTTTCTGCCATCATTTTCAGTTTGGCTTCAATGGCCTTTATTTTCGCGCTGACACTGGAAAGAGAAAAAGCAGAAGAGAACTCAAGCTTGGTCTTAGCATGGAATCGGAGTACAGCAAGCCCGAGATTTTGTTGACATGCGGATACTTAGTCACACGAGGAGGGGCCAGGGCAGCCCCCACCGCTGCATTCACAGGCAGCGTGAAGCTGGGAGGCAGGAACCTACTGCTTAAAGCCCACGCTGCTGCACTGCAATCCTCAGCACGGATTTGCTCCTCCAAGATGTATCACAGCACCACAAAATAACGGTCCTTGCACCTACTCAGCACTTTCCTGAGGACACCGAGGGAGACAAGTACACAGCGAGGCTTCCTACTTCATGTAAAATGATGTCATGTAAAGAGGTCTGAGCATGTGCAGCAGAGCGCAGCTCAGACGAGGCTGCTGGAAACAGCAGAGAAATGAAAGCCAGACTTCCTCCCAGCTACAAGACCGCTCGGGATGGGAAAACCCCAGACTCTAATTAGGTCAGGAAGAAACATTATTTCAGCATTAGCAGGGTTTATCCCAAAGGGAGAAGCTATCCCAGGTTACACCCCAAATTCCTACGACTTTTGTTATTCACTATCCCCCACTGGGTACGGACGAGGAACGTTCCCTTCTCCGCTGCGGCTTCTTGCAGCATCCATCCTCACTGACACAGCTCCTCCGTGCCGCCGACGGAGCTAACAATCCGCACGACTCGAGCCTCTCCGCTCATTACTTCCTAGCGTGTTACTTCCGAATTCCAGGCTCATTTTATCTGTAGGCAAATTCATTATCCCCAGTCCTGGTTCCTCATAGGGTTCCACTGACAGAACACAGAGGGAAATCACATATCCTTTCAACCAAACCGTGAATTAGCAAAGCAGCACTACGTGCTTTAGGTAAACGGAGGGGTTGGAGAATTTAACCACATCCCACAGAGCAGACCTACCAGCCCCAACGCTGGCAAAAAAAAAAAAAAAAAAAATTAGTTCTATGTGAAGTACTACACGTGATTTTCTTTTAATATTTTGCACTATAGAAGAAATTCTTACTCACAGGCGTTTTGCTTACTGTACTAATTCGATTACAAAACCTCTCACTGAAATTCATACGGCACATTCTGCCCAAGGGAGCTGGAATGTTACACACTCCCAGTTCCTCTCCTCACCTCTCTTCCTTCCTACTGCCCCAGAAGCTTCACATGTTAGAAAATGAACTTCAAGTCTGAGGCGTCCCACATCAAAGGAGTTACTTTGCAGCATGTCGCCCTTTTAAAAACAGCTTTTCTGCTACATTAGAGTTTCAGCACAAACATAACTCCAACAAACCCAGACGTTACTGAAAGCAAAGAAGTTTGTTCCCCACCACTCCCACAGTTTGGACACCTCTCACCCACCCCATCTCCTACCTTAGGTTAGACTGGGGCGGCTCCGTGCTGGAAGATGGCTCCAGACTGATTGGAAGGATCTTCTCATTTTTATTGTGATCATATCTCTGTGAACAAGAGACCAAGGATTGAAGTCAGCTGGAATAACAAACATTTGCCTGCAGATATGCTTTCAAGTTGGATGAGCATCACCTCGTATTTTGTGAAGCTTTTGCTAGGAATGATTTTCACGGCCAAACACTGAAACAAATCCCAACCATAATATTTGTTTAGTACCAACATGGAACGTAGACTCTGATACTGAACACTTCTGTGCATGGTACTATGGATCCTTACGTCTCACCACTTCTTGCTCCCCTCTATATAAGGCACAAAGCAAAGACGGTAAATTTGAAGGTAACTACTCTCCTGTATCACTGTGCTCTCTACACAGACACTGTGCTTGGGGTGCCTCCTGACTCTGCACACGACTGCACAGAATCACAGTGCTGGGAGAAAAGAAAAGAACAGGGAGAAAAAAAAAATTAAAAAAAAAAAAAGCGCAGTTTGGAACCACCTCTTTTCTGCAGAAAGCAGTCTGTGAGTCTGTCATCTCTGTGGGCAAAGGGCCCCCCAAACTATTCGCAGTGTTCTGCTTCCTTATTTCGCTTGGCACAAAGTCAGGTTTGTTTTTTCAGCAGAGCTGCTCAAACCGACAGTGTCTGGTAAGCCTTGGCCACTCATCTTAAAACTACTTAGCATGGTGCTGGTATTGTCTAAAATAAACACTTGCTACAATAAGCCAAAGTTCTGCGTTGTTAAATCTTTCCATTCACGGATTAGAAGAATGCCATGCAAACTCAAGTGATTATTTATGCATGTTCTTCACCATACCCTGGACAGCCAAGCACTGAGCTACCCCGCTGAACTCCCAGCTGGGCAGACACTCACTCCTCTGGCTGAAACTCCTTTTACGGCCTGATCATTCTTCAGGCATCCAGAAGCACATGGCGCTCTAGTAGCTACAGAGCTAAAGAAAATGGAGACTGGATTTGCGCAAGCTTGGATGTGCTGACAAGAGCCTGGAGCCCTTGGAGCCAATAATTAAAACAACATGGTCTCCTTTAACAGAGATATCTGTTTTGGTTTTTTTTTTTTAGCATCCAGAACAGATGCACTAGTATGCTCGATAAGAGAAAGGGTAGAAGGCTGCTTGTAGGATAATCAGCACGTGCTAAAAGCAAACTACCCAAAGGAAAAATAACAAGAAGCAGCTCCACCCCACCTCCCCCAAAATCCATTTATCTGCAAAGAAAGTTATTAAAAATGTGAAAAGTATTCAAATACCAGATAGTAAGTAACTGCAGGAGAAAATGCAATAATTTAAAAAAATTAAAACAAAAGACATCCCAGAAGGTACTGCCTAAATTAATACTAAAACTTGATGTTTTACATGACAGAGCAAGCAATAAAAGGATATTTAGCTTAGATGTGAAATATGTTACTTTAAAGTCAGAAGTAATTAGAGCTGCTGCTACGTAAGTGCTCTCAGAAGTGGAACAAAGTAAAAAAGTACTTAGTAATTGGGAATTTCCATGCATCTCCTATCCAAAAAGGGAGCAAAACCACAAAGGGAAGGATTCAAACTTGGTGCCAGTCAGTTTGGGGAAAGTTAAAACGTGGACATTTATAGAAGCAGTCTGTTCACACCACTGATCAGAAAGTCCCTTACAAAGAACATCGGGTTATACAGCCTGTTCTTACTCACAGCTCATCCAGCACAGTTCAGGTAGACAAGAGGGGTAGATCGTTAACAGTGTGTCTATGAGAGTTATTTCCTAGAACAGACCAAAATTATCTTGGCCAGGCTAAGGCAGCCTTGATAAAAAACTGTTCCTTAAAATTAAAGTTTTTCTATTTTACACATTAAAAGCAATTCTTATTTATACCACAAGCTTACCTTGACTTGTGCATGAGCCCACCGCACCACCAGTTTCTTGGAAAGGGCCAGCTTCCCATTGAGACACTGGATCGCCTTTTCTGCTTCCTGCACAGGAAGACAGTTCAATAAACAAACCAAGTCTTTAGTCAAAACCAACTCAGATGTAAAGAGCCTTTTTTCTTTGTTAATCTGGAAGTACAGCTGTTCTGTAAGTGCAGCTAGCTGACAGCAAAGAAACTTTATCCCATTGTATCCCAACCCAGGAATATCTCTGGAAGACTCTTAAGTCTGAGTAACGAGACTTTTATCAGCCTTGTTGGTTTATTCTCTCACTTATTTTGGGGGAGGAAATGGGGACAATACCAAACTTAGAGGCCACTGGAACAGCACTCCGAGGGAGGTTTATGCTACAGGAGTTTCTCTAGAAAATCCCGTGGCTCATTACAGTGATTGCATCTGCCTCCTTAACCCATCTTACACTCATCCCAGGTCCTGCTCATGCACACTGGGGACATGATCCACTTGGTCCCTTTCGAGGCTTGGCAGTGGAATCACAGCTTTGGGACACTTCCATAAAACCCGATTCACAGCAGTTGAAGATTTATGTTGCGATGCTGTTCCATCTTGCTATGAATAATTTTCTAGGGCTAACATACTGTGTCAGGGCTTTTCTGACATCCTTACCAGCAACTGCACAGCAAAAAGATGAGGTCATACAACCACAAGCAATCCCCAAACATGCTGTTTTTCCTAACTTTTGAAGAATTCTGGCAGAATTACGGCAAAATAACTACAACTCTGATGTTACAGGTGAGGAAGACTTGAAATTTGGATTTGTAACAAGAGCTAAAACCCCAAATGGACAGTCAGGGGCAGCTCTAGAATGCTGCAGATGTGTCACGTACATCTGGCAGCACCACGTAAGTTGGTGTTTGGCTTCGTGAATGCACAAAAGTAAAACCAGGAGGATTCAGAGCAGTTCTTGATTTCAGGCGGTCTGGCAGGCTGATCCAAAGCTCTGTGTGGATCACAGCATCTCCATGGTACAACTCCATGAGCTCACTACAAAAGGGCACCAAAGAACTGTCCCTTTCTGATTAGCATTAGAAAGCAGGATTCAGGAAAAGAGCAGAGGAGAAAGGAAATCACTACTGCTTCTTCCAGGAACAGAAGTGGGTGTCACGGAGTGGAGCTGTTCAGAGTCTGTGGGTTTGTGTAGACAAGGTATGTAATTTATCCCTGCCTGTTTCAGCTTTACATTGACATAAAAAAGATGGGGAAAGGAGCCACTTAAAGGAGAATTGTAGATAAAAGCGACATACCTGTTTGGTTTCAAAGTTCACAAAACAGTAACCCCTCGGCTGCCCCTCCAGAGCACCAGACTTGTGAAAGAGAAAGTCAAATTGCTTTACTTTGCCAAACTTCTGAAGGAGTTTGAGGAGGTGATATCTGAAGGGGAGAGAAGACACTTTTATGATGCCTTTCACCACTCTGAAAGTGGGGGGGATAGACAGAAACCTCCGAATCCCCCTCCCTCCATTTCACGGTCAGTAACAAAAGCAGTTGTGTCATACAAGTATTCCCAAATACCTACAGAGGTGGGCACCCTGTACAGCAACCCCTCAGCACCCACAGCTCTGAGCTGCCTTATCAGGGACTGCTCTAACACCCCGAGGCACAACACCTCCCTCCCAGCCGTGCCAGCCAAAGGGCATGCAGGAGATCTATTAATAGTTGGCTTTTGGACAGTTACGCAACGGCTCCCTACGGCTCTGGGAGGGCTTTGCCTCCTGCCTCACTAAATCACACCTACTTTCAAGCATAAACACCGTGTCTGCCCCTCGCTGGCCCTGACGTGGCCACCTGAGCAGTCCCAGCCCACAGCACCCCATGTCCCTCAGGATCCTCAGTTATCAGGGCACTGACAACACCACAGCCAGATCATACGAAAACCCAGCCACTCTCCTACTTGCCTTGCAGAGCTGGGGGAGTAGGAAGACAAAAGACTCAAAAGAACAAACTGCAACCAGGAATTGCTGCTTTTTTTTTTTTTTTGCCTGGTCTACTGCCACCAGACAGACCTCAGGATGATCCAGGCCAAATCTGCCAGTGCTCCTGGCTCAGACAGCTTTTCAGCAACATGCACACAGAAGTCAGACACTTATTTAGCCAATTATCTTCCTGCCATCCAGTGGGGAGAGTCCTGTTTCCAATAAAACTGTGGAAAGCCAGACTAAATCTGCCTGCTTAGTATCTAGCGCAAAGAGTGACTGAAAATAAGGACCACATTTGTTGTACAGGCCACATCTAATCCTGAAAGTTCTCTGCAGCTTTTTTCGGTTCCTGGGATCAAAGTGTTTAATGTCACTAGCTGACCTGGAAGGAAAATGACACCTGTTCCTATGTCACTGCCTGACCCTGTCCCTAACAATTAAGAATTGTTTAAAGGTTTAATAAGGGTGTCAGGACTCATCCTCTCCTGATCAGCTGTGCAGCGTTCGTCGGCAAGCCATGGAGCCTCAACCCAGTTTTTCAGCTTGGAAGATAACACTCAGTGCTCTGAAGGCCCACCAGGATATCTCAGAGTGCACATGGGAGCACCAGGCACTGGAAAACACCTTGCAAGTCCAGGCATGACTGGTCAGTAGTGGCCCAAGACTGCCAAATGCACCAGGCACCTTTAGGGACAGTCCGAATAGGAAGGGCAGACAACATTTTTTCCTAATAAAGCCTGATAGGATGTTTGAAAAGGGCTCTAGCCCTTTGTGACGCTCCAGGAGCCAGGCAAGAAAGTTCCAGGAATGTGAGTCATCTCACAGGATGGGTCACGGTGGACATTCAGGATATGCACTTCTAAAGAGGTGAAGGTGCAGCAAGCGTTCAGAGGAGCAGTGAAGAAGGGCCAAGTTATCTCCCAGGGGAATAAACACATTGTAATAGATTATGGAAGGCTTCCTACATCCTTTGGAGTACAGACAAAGCCCATGGTCTTCCAAGAGGCTTATGGACCCTCAGCCTCTGCTCTGAAGGCAAGGGAGACAGAAAAGCCAGAGGGTGGAGGAAAAAAAAAAAAAAAAAAAAAGG